CTGAATGAGCCATCCCTCTTCAGTTTACAGCATAGAGGCTAAGAGCACATGCTCTGGACTCAGAGTTGAATCTACTTGCTGTAAAACCTTAGACAAATTATTTCCATTCATTAACTCAGTCCATGAATATATATTGAATACATGTTGTGTGCAAGGCACTATTTTAAATGCCCCAAGTATAGCAGCAGTTAAGACTAACAGTGTCTCTGGTCTCATGGCATTTACATACTATGCCTCTATTTTTTCACCTACAAAACAGATATTTTAATAGTTCATAGCTCAGAGGATTAATCTGGGGTTAAATAATACATTATCTATGCAAATAATAGCACAGTACAAGAACTCAACAAATATTAAGTCTTACAGAATATATTATTCAACCTAGTCTACTTAGAAATATACCAAAGGAAGTTCTAATTTTTGTCTTGCTTATCTTATTTTATTTGAATCTATTTTACAGTAGCCATTTCCATAGGAAAATATTAAACATGAAATTTAATATTTTATATAGTGTTTAAAATATTAAATAGAAAAACAAAAATAGTAGCAAAAATTTCCATATTTATTGGTGACTATATTTTATGTCCCAAAGAGAAGATAATAAAAAAGTTCTATTTTTCAACTGACATCATCCATATTTCAATAAGTGTGTCAGAAACTGTAAAAAGAAAGAGAGAGAGAAATATGCAAAACTCTTCCCTAAGGAAATTTACGGCATGGCCAAGTTGGTGAGTTGAATTCTCCATGATCTTTTAAACCTAGTTTGAACCTAATATTAATGCTTAGTTTATCATTCTGACCCTTAGGGGCCATACTCAGGAATTTTGGAAGTGACGGAGGAAGCAACTAAGCATGGGAGAAAGCAAGAGCTATCTGACAAAGAAGGCAGTGATGTAGCTGGTGCTGAGAAATATGACACTCTCCTATGCATACCTGCAGCCCACAAACTCAGTTAACTACACAAAGCAGTTTGATGACTCAAGATGGAAGATTCCATACATCTTCACAGGATCGATGTCTCTCAAAGTGTAACCCCAGGGCAGGGGAGTGTAAATTGCTATAGCCTCTCTAGAAAATTGTTTGGAAGTTCTCTACTACAATTGTACATATGATTATCTTATGACTCTTAAGTATAAACTGAACCAAAATATAAACACCAAGGACGTACAGAGATGTTTCATACAAAAAAGCACTATTTGTAATCGACAAAAGTTAGGCTTAACTCAAATTCTATCAACTGTAGAATGGATAGATTTGATATATTAATATAATGTAATACTGCACAACAACAAAAATGAACAGGCTATTGTTACCTGAAAAAATATGTGTAAATTGTGCAAACATAATATTGAGCAAAGATGTCAAACACAAATAGTATATACTTACGATTCCATTTTTATAAAGTTCAAAAGAGCAAACAATACATTGCACTTTATGATGCTAGAATTGGAGTAGTGCTTATCTTTGGAGAGGAGAAGGAGATAGTAATTGGGAATGAACTTGAGAGTTCCTAGGGTATTGGCAATGTTCTATTTCTTGACCTGGATTACAATTTCACAGGTATATTCACTTTAGGGTAATTAATTGAGCTTATGATCTGCACTTGTTCTGTGTGTACGCTACCCTTTAACACACATGCATGGCACATACACACAGGTCGAGGCTTGTCCAGGATGAATGGACTTAAACCTCTAATAAAGGTGACTTTCTCAGAGCCCCTCCCCCAGGGTTGCTTCTTCACTCCCACCACCTCGCCATCTTAGAGGACCTTCCCATCTTTAGTTTTGCCCTTGTCATTGCTACCCCGGGGGGTGGTAGCTGAGTCCTACCTATGATTATTGCAGGCCTTGGACATGTAGCACATGCCTCATCCCAGCCCTGAGTTATCTATGGCCCCACAGGAAACCATCTTATTTGAGAAATAATGATTTTTCAAAATCTGGAATTTGGTAATACCTTTTTTCCTGGAAGAACTCTGGTGTGCCCTGACTTGCCCTCCTATCAAAAGGCCATAGGAAAACACACACACACACACACACACACACACACACACACACACACCAGACCCAAGTCATCCTTATCGTTAGAAGAAAGCTGAAGTGTAATTACAGCTTAGAGTGCCATCTGGTGTATTTTTTGCCAAGTGCCTTTAACTTCTCTGCTAAGGGCCATGAAATTTAAAGCCTTTCGCTGAGGGGTATTACAAACCTCTTTCTCTGGATCTAACCTTTGACAGAGTCCTAAGAATCCCTGTTACGTGTCAATCTGAGAAAAATAGAATAACTACTGACGTGGTGGGCATTTGTTTATGTTTTTGCCTGTGGCCCTGGACAAGTGTTTGGAGGCTTTCCCACTACAGAAACTGAAAACACAAATACTGGATTTCCCAGGCTCCTCTTCACTTCAGACATGGGTACCTGATCGAGGGTCCACCAATTAGGAGCACCTGCCACCTCAGCTAGAATTGGAAGCTCAGAAGAGAAAAAAACTGAGACTGTCAATACCATTCTAATAACTTGTGTTCAATTTTTATGGACAACAGTAGAAACAGTTCTTGCAGCAAAGTACAAAAACTGAGGGTTTGAGATTTTGCTCTACTTGTAAGCCAACAAGTTCACTCCCACAGGTTCATGGATGCTGGTAGAAGACACCAAACCCTTGGGTCAAAGACAAAGAACTCTATTACTCGTGGCACATCAAGTTGCATGACATCAGCATAGGCACTAGTTTCCCTTGTCCCTAATTCTCATGGGACAATGAAGATGAACCCTGATGGCTGCCTAAACACACAGTGGTTGTGTGATAGGAGAGGAACTTTTCGTGGCCTGTTGGCAGAAGGGTAAGTCAGGGCACAACAAAATTCTCCTAGGAAAAAAAGTATTGTCAGATTCCAGGGGGGCGGGGTTCTATTGTATTTGTCTGGGTCTTTTATAGTGGGCAGTAAGCATGTCTCTGCCTTTTGTTCTAGAAGGAAATACCATCTCTACCTTTCAAGGCTTCTGTTCTGCAAATATTCTTGAAAGATAGTCTGGAACAAAGCCAATCAGTGCTTCTGCTTGCAAGGCATGCAGAAATGTAAGATGTTAGTGGAGAATTGTTTCCTAACACAGTGTCCAATGTCCAGTGTTGATGGAATCGGAGGCATTAGCCACAGTGACTCAGTGGGACAGTGGTGCCAGTGGTATTTTTACCAGCCCAGTTCTGCAGTGTTACTTCCAGCAATGGCCTTGGCTGCAATTTCTCCAAACCTAATTCTTCGACCTATCTGGAATTACTGAGATCTGGCCCATATTTCCTGTTTGGTTTCTCTTGCTCACACCTTTCTGTCCTGACTGACACACTAAAGAAATGATGACTCTTCACTGGAAAATATCTATAAATACACATTCCTTGTTCTTTATTTTGGTTGGTTTGTTTAGTCTCTTAGATGCTGAGTACATTATTTGCCTTCTCATCCACCAAAGCCAGGTGTAAGATCTCTCCTGGGTTGTCTTAAAGAAAAAGGAATCTGTATCAGAAGTAAAATCCCCAGAGAGTATAGTTTCTGGAAGTGTTAGATCCCTGGCCTGCAAACTGTTAGAGCCCTGAAGATTTTCTCTTAATCTGAGGTATTTAAAAAAATCAGCTTCATAAGGATCATTGATGTGTTCAATCATTTGTGGATCACTTATTCCATGCTTCCTAGGGTAGGGTTTCACAGTTCTTGCAAGATAAAATTTTTATTTGTTGATTGTTGGATAATAACCTGAATTTTAAGGTTTCCTGGTTAGCATAAACTTTTGTTGCTGAGAGTCATTTAAGAAATGTTATGCTTCAAGGATTACCTCTTGAAGAGTTCATAATTCAATATTGACTTTCTTATCTAAAAATATTAGTCACAGTTTTTGCATTGTCCTTATGGTAAAACAGTTTTCCAAGATGAATTGTATATATTGCATTAGCTTCTTTCTAAGACCAACTACTTTGATTATATTTGAACTCTACACTTCAAGCTAATTAAAGACGCCATTCTTAGTTTAAAGAATCATAGGCTACTGGAGTGGGAAGGGCACATGGAGGTCATCTTCTGGTTAGTGCTCAATTTTGAAAGGAGAGAATCCCACATGCTATAAATTCCAATACTCTTTCTTTTCAAAACATGCCATTTGTTAGAAACAATGGAGTAATACTTGCTTATTTTTTTTAATTGGAAAATAAGGGAACCTGCCTTTTAAAAGTCACCCAGAGAGAATTCACTATAGTGGGGGAGGAAGAAATTTCCTCTACCCTCAAGGTTCTTTTGGCTAGTCTAATAATCAAATAGACATGAGCAGATTAGCAAGAGAAGATGATCAAGTTTAATTACATATATATTCATGGGAACCCCACATACATAAGAGAGTCGGAGGCCCACACACATGAGAGGTTCAGAGACAGAGAAGGAAACTGAAACATATATGACATTCTGAGCTAAGGATGAGGTAAGGTGCCTGAAGGCTTTAGAAGGTAATTGCAGGGAGAGCACATACTTAGTCATTATTAGTTGTCCTGGCATATAGATAAGTAGAAAGTCATTTGTGGTGATAACACTTATCGTGGGCCAGAGCTCTAATTTAAATTATTCTAGACAGTTAAGGGGGGAGGTAGAAGTTTCTCTTGAGCCTGCAGTCTAAGTAGCCTTTAGTCAAAACAGTAAGCATATGAGGCACAGCTTGGGGTGCCTCACTCTGAACCCCTACACCATCAATATCTACATGCATTTTCCAAAAACACTTTATTTCTTGTTGTGTGTTTTTTCACAAACTTTAGATTAAAACATATATTTCACTTACATCTTGGTTATTTTGCATTTAGTTGCATATAATTTTTTTTTCTTGAAGTACCAGTGCTTCTAAAGATGTTCTTCCTTCTTCCCAAAATGCTGAGGAAAGTTAGCAGTCTTATGAAACAGTTTTCAAATATTATGCTGCTTTCAAATTTATTTCTGTTTTATATATATATAATCTGTTGTTAAAATAATTTTTAACAGTAATTTTGAATTGAAGGGCTTTCTTAGGATTGGATGGGATGGTAGCGAGTAGAGTGCATAGGGTTATGATAAAGGGTGAAGTCAGAGTTACGTGTCCTGATGGATGTAGGTAGAGACAGAGCTGCTTCTTTCTGGACCAACGTGGTCACTAATGTGCCCTGGAACAGTGTGACCCCTGAGAAGAGAAAAGAATATGGAAATTCCTTTTAGGAAATTGAATAGCCATGCAAGATCAAGATGACAGATATTGAAAAGTGTGGCCAAGACAAGCTAAATAATATTATAAATAACAATGACAATGATATATAATATTGATTGAATGTTTACCATATGCCAGGAACCATACCTTAACTGTACTGTCTTATTTAATCATCACACAAACATTAAGGTAGATATTTTTATCGTTACTGTTAGAGAGATCTGGAAATTGAGGCATGGAGAGGTTCAGTAGCTTACCTAAGGGCAAAGAGCTTGTAAGTGACAGACTCTTGTAGCATCCACATCAGTGTTAGGCATTTAGATGTCATCCAGTGACAATCTGTTGAGCTGACATAGTTGGAAGTAAAAATTATATTGTAGGAATATATTTAAATATATGGAAAAATGTTCATCACACAATAAAAAGAAAAGGATGATTAAGAGCATGTATACTCTAAAACTAATTTGGTAAAATAAATATATAGTGATATATAGAGTGTGTGTTTGAATATACAGATGAATCTAAGAGCAAATATGCCAAGGCATTGGTTCATTCCATGTATTAAGTTCACAGATGACTTTTATTTTCCTTTTTGAGATCTCTATTTTAGATATTCTGGTTTCTGTTTTTTTAATAAGATTTTTTTTAGATTTTATTTATTTATTTTTAGAGAGGGAAGGGAGGGAGATAGAGAGATGGAGAGAAACATCAATGTGTGGTTGCTGGGGGTCATGGCCTGCAACCCAGGCATGTACCCTGGCTGGGAATAGAACCTGCGACACTTTGGTTCGCAGCCCGCGCTCAATCCACTGAGCTACGCCAGCCAGGGCAGATATTCTGGTTTCATAATAAGTGAATGGTTGGCTGTTTGCCCCAAAATGTTGGTTGGGAAATTGGTCAAAGGGTGTAGTCGGGTTCTCCTGGCAAATAGAACCAATAGGGTAAGTATAGACCTATGCACATAGAGAGATTTATTATGAGGGTTGGGTTCACATGAATATGGAGCCTGGGAAGCCCCATGATCTGCCATCTGCAAGCTGGAGACTCAGGAAAGCGGAGGTGTTGTTCTAGTCTAAGCCCACAGGCCAGAAAGCCAGGAATGTCTGTGTTTGAGAGCAGGAGATGATGGATTTCCCAATTTAAGCAGAGAGCAAATTCTCCCTTCTTCTACCTGCTCATTCTACATAACCCTCAACGACTTGGATGATGATGACTACTTAGTGTTGGGAGAGGGATCGTCTTTGCTGAGTCTGCCAGTTCAAATGCCAATTTCTTCCAGAACCGTCCTCACACACAGCCAGACACAGTGTTTATCCAGCTATCCGGCATCCACACTTAAAACTAAGCGTCACAAATGGTACCTTGCAAAACCTGGGGTGAGAGGGCAAGAGCGCTTGTCTCATCACGAGCAAGGTGGCGTGCAAAGGGGATGTGGACACCAACTGTTTCTAAGCCAAGCCTCAGGGTCTCATCCTAAATTTATCCCAGATTCTCTCATCTAAAGACTTACTGGAGGGCCTTCACTTTTATAAAACCTTCAGAACAATAGGGCCTGTCTCCTAAAACAAAGGCTCTAGCCCAGCACCCTCCACCCCGACCCCACAGCGTCACATATTATTTCTATTTTTAATGACATTTTTTTGCAGTGAGCGGAAAGACCAACACAAAACAAACACAAACAAACAAACCAAAAACAACAACAACAACAAAAACCGTAAACCCAAAGTTTCACCATCTTATGCCCAGATTCTCGCTTCCAGTCCTCTCCTCTCAAAATCGCCTTAAATGCAGTGGTCTGATTTTCCTTGCAAACTAGTGTGTCAGTCAGGGGTGAAATGTATTTATTTTATAACTTTTAAAATTGTTGTTATTATACAAGTAATTTATGTTATTTTCATAAAATTTGGAAAAACAGATAATACAATTCGAAAAATTACTGAAAAAGAAGAAATGAAAGATCATGCATAAATCCACCTCCCATCGTCCAAGAGCTACCAGAATTCAGGCCATTCTTTAGGCACTGACAGAATGCTAGGGTAAGTTATGTCTATTGTGGCAGCTTCCTTAGGCCAAGTCAATACAGATTTTAATCAAAGTAAATCAGATCTTAATGAAACATTTGCTGTCAAGTGAATTTTGTCTCCTTAGCCTAGCCTGCATTGCAAATTTCTCCTTTTGGTTCTAACATCAGGGCTGAAAGAGTAACAGAATGCTTACAAGTGGAACAAATCATTTTCTAGGAAAGTAAGCTTGTACATTTGCATGCTAATGGTCTGTAAGTACACAGAGAGACTCTGCTTCCACTATGCCCCCCTGCCACTCCACTTCCCAATACACACATAATGTCTTATTACTGTGTGGCTAATGAACTCTCAGGATAGCTCAAGAATCTCTCTCCATCTTACTGGCCCCATCCGGCTGACTGGCTAATGGGAAATTCACTTTCACCGCTAAGGGTAATAATGACTATTGAGTGTCTCCAGGGTGTTCATCATCATCACGCTAAGCACTTTAGTAGGCCAACTCAATAAATATTTACAAACTTCCTTTGAAGAATTATTGCCTGTTTTATAGAAGAGGAAACTAGAATTCAGAGAAGTTAATTTGCTGGCTCAAAGGTCACACAGCTGCAATGTGTCAGAACTAAGATTCAAACCCAGGTCTTGCAGACTCCAAAGCCTATTCTTTTAATCATTATATAATAAAAAGCCTCACTTTCTGCAGACATGGCTCATGCTCAGAGTTCTAATGATCCAAGAACAGAAGAAAATGCTGGACCAAGATATTGCACAGGGTCATCCACTCATATCTTAACTCCTTAAGGATCCCACCTTGAGAACTATGGGGTCATAACTGCTGCTTTGTTGAGTAAAGACGTCTATTAAATTTTTATATTTGGAAGACAGCTCTTGTCTCACAGAAGCACATCTACCTGATAAGATTTCAAATGAAAGAACTTCATTCGAGGATGCATACTATATATTTGTAACTCCGTACTTTTCTTTTCACTCTTTCCTTCTTCCTCATGATTATTGGAACATGTTCATGTACGTTCTCAATCTTCCACTCTCTCCTTGGTCTTGGAGCAGTAGTAGGAGGCAGTGAAAAGCTTCTTGCTTGCTAGGTTAATTCCTGATCTCCCTTTTTTTGTAGGGAATCTGATAATGTGAGAATAGGTAATTGGAAAGTATATAGGTGTACATAATAAAGAGAAAGCTATTTCTCATAATAAAAAAAGCTGTTAAGTCAGAGAAAGGCAATATCAACAACCTCTTAGAATATTCTTCTTCTCTGTTTGGAGCAGGGTATCTCTTTGTGTTTGAGTCTCTGAAAACATAAGTAATGCATTAATGCAGGGTGATCTATGATGGCAAAATTTCATCAGAGCAACTGAATAAATCAATGTGTACAATGACAGACTCATGATTATTTTGTCCCTTGGAATACAAAGAATCCCTAATGCTTAGACATCTGTATGAAATGATGGTTTAACTCAAGGTCTATTTTGTACTTACTTTCAAATGGCTATGAGTTGAATTGGCTCCTCTTCCCCACCCCACAGAGTCATACGGTGACCTCCAACACTCGATGCAACTGTATATGGAGACAGGATTTTTAAGGTAACTGAGGTTAAATTATAACCTCTTCCTTATAAGAAAAAGAAGAGAGAGATATCTTTGTCCTTCGCTCCACCGAGTATGAGTACACAGGGAGAAGGTGGGCATCTGCAATCTGAAGAGAGCTATCTCCAGGAACCAAATCAGCCGGCACCTTGATTGTGGACTTTCAGTCTCCAGAATTGTGAGAAAAAAATGCTGTTGTTTAAGCCACCCTTTCGTAGCATTGTTTCATGGCAGCCTGAGCAGACTAAGTTGTAGCACTATCCACATAAGAACCTCCAGCAGCACATGCCTGAATATATATTTAGCAATCTGCTATTTTTACTATTTGTCCTTGGAGAAGGTCATGTCTTTGCTTATACAACCATAGATAAATTTAAGAGTTTGTATTTTAAGATGGTATTATTCACTGCAGTAAAAACTTCAGTGGGCACATTTTTTTTCTATAAACAGACGATCGATTCTTTTTCTGCTGACCAATGAAAGTTTCCATGGTAATAACTAATGCAATGTCATCTTGTGTGTTTTGCACCTTCACTTTTAAAAGAAAGCTGCTCACATCTACTGAATAGCTGTTAAATAAAAGCCAAAACCTACCAAGGAAGGATTCCTATTTCAGTGAAGCACCCTCAGGGGAAATGCAACTGTCACAGAATATGTTTTGACAGTGAGGGTCAGATGCTGTTCTACCGCCTCCCTTCCACTTGCCCTCCACTTTTCTGTTCTTCCAAACACATCTTTCGCATCTGTAAATAAGCCTGCAGAAAACAGCCCAACATCCCGAACACCTTGGGGCTAGTGCAGGTTCCGTTCCAGACAACTGCACTAAATGGACTATCACAATAAAATGAGCTACACAAATTTTTGTGTTTCCCAGTACGTATAAAAGTTATATTCACACTATACTGTAGCTTATTAAGCTACTGTGCACTAGTGTTATGTCTATAAAAAACATGTACCTACCTTAATTAAAAACACTTTATTGATATAAATGCTAACCATCTTCTGAGCCTTCAGTGAGTCCTGATCTTCTGGTTGGGGGAGGGTCTTGCTTCAACGTTGATGAAAATGCAAGCCTATGAAGTGCATTAAAGTGAAGTGCAATAAAACGAGAAATATAGGTATTAAAATTTGTTCCACACTTACCTTTTAATGCCTTATGTACCTAAATTCAAGGAACCAAATAACATCAGCTGAAGAGAGAATTTACGTTTTTATCAAATGTCTTCCTGGATATTGAAATTTTTTTTAAAGATTTAAAAAATTTATTTTAGAGAGGGGAAGGGAGGGAGAAAGAGAGGGAGAGAAACATCCGTGTGTGTTCACTTTTCATGCTCCCCTTATTGGGGACCTGGCCTGCAACCCAGGCATGTGCCCTAACTGGGAATCAAACCGGCAACCCCTTGGTTCATAGGCCAGTGCTCAATCCACTGAGCCACACCAGCCAGGTCTGAAATTTTCAATAGCAGTAAATCTGCAAACTACCTTAAGAACGATCTATAGCCATTATTCACATGTTTTCCATGGAAAAACTAGACTCGAGGGAAAGAGGCCTAGGCCAGTTTCTAAATGGTAAGAGAAGACAAGTTTCCAGGAATTCTGAAACCGTGAGTGTACTGGCTGTGGTTACAAAGTAGACATGAAATTCTCGGAGCTTAAAGTAACTTACAGGAAGGGAGCACCGAAGCCAATCACACGAGTGGAAAAGCCAAATGTGCCAGCAGCTTCCATTTTTGAAGCAGTTGTTTCCTGCACTTAGTCGCACAGGCAAGTTGCCATAGTTACAGTATCAGTCCTCCAATGAAAAATAGGTGATTCAGAACCTATTATCTCCTTAGTAGCATAGACCAGTGGCTTTCAAACTTTCTGACCTCAGGATTTCTTTATACTCTTAATAATGATCATAATCGCTATTGAGGACTCTAGAGTGCTTTTCTTTATGTGGGGGTAGAAATTTTAAAATAGTTTAATTTATTAAAAATAACAAACCAGTTTACATTGTATCCCATTTTTATTTCAATCAAACTATATTTTCCAAAATAAAATAAAAATTGGCATTGTTTTATATTTTTACAGCACCCTGTCACATCTTCCTTAATAGAAGATGCCTGGATTCTCACGTCTGTGTCTGCATTCTAGCTGTGGTGACATCATACACGTAGCTCTGGGAAACTCCATGAGAGAATGAGGGTAAAAAGGTCAAATAATGGATCTGTGTTTTTACAAAAATAGTTTTGACCTTGCAGACTGTTTGAAAAGAGTTCAAGGGTCACTGAGCCGTACTTCGAGAACCCGTGGTATAAACAATAACAAAACCCAGATTTTTAAGAATACATGTTTTTAGGAATATAATTTCTAAGGTACATGCTTGTAAGTACGTAATAATTTCTGAAATGAGTATTTCTCCCAGTGGAATCAATTGGGTATTTCAGATCTTGCCTCTTGACTTTAAAGATTTGACCAGAGCTGGGAAATTCTAAATATCTGTGAAACAAAGAACAGGGACTCCAGTTCAACTGATCTCAAAAGGGAACCCCCCGAGAGCTTTAAGGGGTACCCTGCTAATGATCTGGGCCAACAACCTACATCCAGCAACAGAGTACTTTGCTCCTCCCCCAGAACGAATGGAGACCAGAAATTGGATGTTCATGACCAAAAAGAGCAAAATTTCATCCAGCACTTCTTCACAGATTGTCAGGGTGCTGACTGAGGATGACTTGGGGCACCCAGAAACAGCAGATGCGACTGCCCAGCCCAAGGAGGTCCTGGACTACAATGTCATTGGTACCAGCAGGCTATGATGGTGCTGGTAACATTCCAGGACCTGATGGAACCAAGAAAGCTGGATGCTGACAGTCTCCAGCAGGTCATGACTGTGGGCTGGTGTGTGGAACTGCTCCAAGTTTTCTTTGCGGTGTCAGATGACATTGTGGACTCATCCCTCACCCAATGGGGTCAGATCTGCTGGAGTCAGAAGTCAGACATAGGTTTGGATGCCATCAATGATGCTCTGCTTCTGGAAGCATGTATCTACCAGCTGCTGGAGCTCTACTGCCAGGAGCAGCCCTGTTACCTGAACCTGATCAAGGCAACTCTGCTCTTACTGCAGAGTTCCTGTCAGACTGAGGTTGAACAGACCCTGGGCCTCATCGCAGCCCTGCAAGGCAATGTGGATCTTGGTAGATTCCCTGCAAAGAGGTACAAATCCACTGTCCAGTATCAGACAGCTTCTACTCTTTCTACTTTCCTGTAGCTACTGCCATGTGTATGGCGGGCATTGTCGAGGAGAAGGAACATGCCAGTGCCAAGAAGATCCTGCTGGAGATGGGAAAGCTCTTTCAGATTCAGGATGATTACCTTGACCTCTTTGGGGACTCCAATGTAACAGGCAAGATTGTCCTGGACATCCAGGACAACAAATGCAGCTGGCTATTAGTTCAGTGTCTCCAATGGGCCTCTCTGGAATAGCGACAGATCCTGCAGGATTACAGGCAGAAGGAGGCTGAGAAGGTGGCCTGGGTGAAGGCACTCATGTACACGCCATGTGCATGCAGTATGAGGAAGATAGTCACAAGGCACCTTGCAGGGCTCACCGAGCCGCACTCACAGCCCCTACCCCAGCCATCTCCTTGGGCACACAAGATCTTTAAGTGGAAAAAGTGACCTAGAGACTACCAGGGCAGGGAGGGGGGCTCTCAATAAATTACAGTAGATCCTCAAACACACAAACAGAAACAAACAAAAAAACAAAAACAAAAGAAGGGACCTCCCATGAGGGTGGTTATCACTGTAGGGGCCACCACTTTATGTGCAAATGCCAGATCGTTGCAGGGGTACATGGATGTAATGTTGGTTTCCTGGTTAATGTAAATTCACTCTGCATACTTGCTCTTTGTACTGTCAGTTTCAACAAATAAAATCCAACTAGGATGTGAACAGTTTGAAGAAATGAGAAACTGTTCCAAACTCGTGGACTTTTGAGTGACTCAGAGAGAGTGGCAGTCCTCTCTTGGATGGCCAATCAGAGTGAAGAAGAAAGCTTTTAGTTCTGAACACTAAACACCTTGTGCTCTTCCACCTTCTCAGAACAGATCTACCTCTGATACTGTCAGACAGAAAACAATCTGAATGCTGACTCCGTGTTACTCACCCAGTGAGAAAAGTATTTGTGTTTTACCACTAGTCACAGCTGGGAGATACCCCAATGCAGCATTACTTAATAAGCAATTTAGAATGTAATGTCCTGGTTCCAAGTACATGGCATCCACTAAGCAAATGAGATGGAGTCACAATCCTGTAACTCATCAGTCTACATTGTGAAATATCGTGACCTGCTTTTTCCCTTCCTCCTTCTTTCTACCTTTATTCTTTCCTCAAATATTTATTATGTACCTGTTGTGAGTAAGGTACTGTGATACATACAACCTCAAATTTTTTGGCTATCAATTCTGTTTATTTTTAATATTAAATATTTTTTTCTTAAATAAGAGGAAACCATGCCTATTAAGGGAGATTGATGTTATAGTAAAATAAAAAAAGGGCAATTATAATTCCCCATAACTAATTTCTAGGGGGTAATTTTAATAAATTCTCATATAATTTCTTTAACATTGTATCATAAGCAACTCTAATGTTATTAACACTCATCATAAATGTAACTTTAATGTCCAAAGTTGGTAATAAATGAAGAAATCTTATTTCTCATTACAGATTTCCATAGGATAAATTGCTTCCTGGAAGTAGAATTACTTAGGAAAAAGGAATGTCTACATTTTACAGCTTCTGTTAACATACTGATTAATTCATGTCTTGCACTGTATCAAAATTATACAACCACAGGAGAAGACTCATTTCATCATGATGGGCAGTGGAGCTTGCCACCCCAAAATATGCCTTTTGGAATATTGATTACCTTAAGCTAGTTATTTTTAAGAAACAAAAGACTCAGAAAAAATGTTTGACCTCTCCCCCAGGCTCCACCTAAAAAAAATTCAGGTAGAAAATTTTGCTTCAGGAAGGGAACCTGCTCATATTCACCTGAGCATACGAACTAAGTGTGTTAGACAGCAAGAAGCTAAGCGGTCTGTCTGTTACATTCCCCTAGCTGCCCCTTTGTTTCTGGGTGGCCTGGCAAACATGTGTTTATCTCATGTTTGCTCTTTCTCATCTACTTGTGAACTGCCTACTTTCTCTGTGAAGTCCCGGATCCCTGTCTCCCTTTCCTTAGTTCAGAACGGCGTATAAGCCTCAACTGCCCAATGCGTCCTCAGATGCCATATTCTTAGGGAACCTCTGCGTGTACATCCATAATAAATTAGTTCATTTTCTCCTGTTAACCTGTTTTTTGTTAATTAGATTATTAATCCAGCTAGAAGAACTTAGGAGGGTAGAAGAAAAATTATCTTTCCTACTCCACAGCTTCATCCTCACCAGTATTAAGGGCAGTGCTTATTTATAGGCAATCTTTGCTCATGTGATTGGTGAATTTTAAAGAACAAAAAATTCTATCTTTAAAAAATTGCATTTTGAGTAAACATTGAAATGCAATCTTTTAAAGTGCAAGCAAAATTATAAAACACTTTAAAATCTTTAAGATACAGGTTATATAATACACTTGTGCCCACTTTTCATTAATTTGGTGAATGAAATGGAGGTAGAGCTTGGACCATCCCAAAAGCCACTATATCAAAGTTCTTGGTAACAAACACTGAAACCTATTTTGGTTGACTTAACCAGAAGGGAAATGTCTTAGAAGGCCCTCAGGTAATATACCAAAGAGACAGGAAGGCTCGAGAATCAGGCTCATCAAATAGGCAAGGTAGTTTTGTAGCTAGAATCAGAACAGGTCACACCACCCAGTCACTTAGGACATCACTGGCATTGCCTTTGGATACTCCTACCTCTCACCTCTGACATTGCTGTTTGTGGGCACAGAAGCCACTTTGCAGATAATGGAATTATTCTTCTATGAATCACAGACTCCAGGTACAAGACCTGGATGGGAGCCTCTGATTGGTTGAACGTAGGTCACATGATATTCCCTAGCTGCTAGGAGTGGAGATAGTGAGTATTGGGCCATTCTGTGCAAATGAATCAGAGCCCAAATGAGGTTTTGGCTAGAAATAAATGATAAAGATCTATTCTCTGTCTTAGGGTTTGCAACCAGAAATACAACTAGGCAATACTCAGAGTATTCCGAAGAAGGAAGAAAAGCTGAGGGCTCTTCTAGTAAAAAGCACATTTTACATTTATTTTTTAACTTTTAAATATTTTGGTATTGGTTTCAGGTGTACAGTGGCCAATCATGCACTTTACAACTGTTTCCTGCCCCACCACCTCGATATTTCCAGTACTCACCTGGCACCATACATAGTTATTAGAATATTATTGACCATATTCCCTATGCTGTACTTCACATCCCCATGACTATTCTGTGACAACCAATCTGTACTTCTTAGTCCCTTCACTTTCCTCACCCAGATCCCCAAAACCCTTCCCTTCTGACCACCATCAGTCTGTTCTGTGTATCTATGGGTCTGTTTCAATTTTGTTTGTTTATTTATTTTGTTCTTTAGATTCCATATGAAATCATATGGTATTTGTATTTCTCTTACTAACTTTTTTCACTTAGCATAATACACTCTATGTCCATCCATGCTGTCTCAAATGATAAGATTTCTTTTTTATGACCGAGTCATATTCCACTGTGTACATGTACCACTACTTTTTTATCACTTGCTTATTGATGGACACTTGGGTTGCTTCCATGTCTTGACTATTGTAAATAATGCTGCACTGCACAGAGGGGGGCACATATTCTTTCAAGTTAGTGTTTTAGGTTTCTTTGAATATATACTCAGAAGTGGAAATGCTGGGTTATAGGCAGATTCATTTTTAATTTTTTGAGGACCCTTAATACTGTTTTCCAAAGTGGCTGCACCAGTCTGCATTTCTAACACAAGTTCATGGGGTTCCCTTTTCTCCACATCCTCACCAACACTTGTTTGTTGATTTATTAATGACAGCCATTCTGACAGGTGTGAGGTGGTATCTCATTGTGGTTTTAATTTGAATTTCTCTGATGATTAGTGATGTTGAGCATATTTCCATATGCCTATTGGCCATCCTCTTTGCAGAAGTGTCCATTTAGGTCTTTTGCCCAATTAAAAAAAAGATTTTATTTATTTACTTTTAGAGAGGTGGGAAGGGAGGGAGAAAGAGAGGCAGAGAAACATTGATGTGAGAGAAACATTGATTGGTTGCCTCTCACATGCACCCTGACAGGGGGCCAAACCTGAAACCCAGGCATGTGCCCTGACCGGGAATCTCACCAGTGACCTTTCGGTTTGCGGAATGAGGACCAAGCATCTGAGCCAAACCAGTCAGGGATCTTTGTCCGTTTTTTATTTGGAATGTTTATTTTTTGGTGTTGACTTGTATGGGTTCTTTATAAATTTTGGATATTAACCTCTTATTAGACGTATCACTGGTGAATATCTTCTTCCATTAAGTAGGTTGTCTTTTTGTTTTGTTGATGGTCTCCTTTGCTGTGCAAAAACATTTTAGTTTGATGTAGTCCCATTTGTTTATTTATTCTGTTGTTTTCCTTGCCCAGGGGAAAAATATGTACATATATGTGTGTGCATGTGTGTGTGTGTGTATGTGTTTTCCTTGCCCATATATATGTGATATATATATATACATATCTAAGATTTGATTATCTTATATATCTTATATATACATCGCTAAGACAAATGTCAGAAACTTTACTGCCTATGTTTTCTTATAGGAGTTTTATGGTTTTGACTCTTATATTTGTTTTTAATCTGTTTTGAGTTTATTCTTCTATATGATATAAGAAGATGGTCTAGTTTGAATTTTTTGCATCTATCTGTCCAATTTTTTCAACACCATTTGTTGAATAGACTTTCTTTACCCCATTGTATGTTCTTGCCCCCTCTGTCAAATATTAATTGCCCATACAGGCATTGGTTTATTTCTGGGCTCTTTATTCTGTGCCATTGATGTCTGTTTTTATGTCAGTACCATGAAAAAGCACGTTCTTGAAAAGAATTAGTCTTGCGTTCTTAGCCTCTGAATGCCTTAGTCTGAGATAGTGATCCTTTCGATGACCTCTGGTCTGGATAATGGATGTCAGGTGGTTTGGATACGTGAACATTCTTCCCTTAGTCCTTCGGGGGTAGTCAGAGTGCTACCTGGAGGTTTTATATGTATAGTAAAACCTCCAGATAATATACATATATAGTATAATATACACTTAATATATTATGTATATATGCATTGATGCAGGACTAGATAGTTCAAAAGTTTAAGTTCCCAGACTAGTTAAAACAAAAATAGAATAATTTCTTCATACATCAACCTACTTGATTTAGTAATTTAACAGCTTGGCTATAGTGACTCCATTTTATTTCTCCACTCTCTTCCTCAAATTTTAGGCAGCAAGACCATGATCAGTTACCACTATAAGTATTTTCTGTGGAATTCCTTGTTTCATAACATTTCTTAGTAATCTGGGTAATCTTCTTAATTATCACTGAATTTTAGGTTGACTGTAGGTCATGAGATGATCTAGTTCAGAACTGTAAACACGAATGTCTACCATATCCTCCAGTGGCAGTGGGGTGGGCCGTAGAGCAGCGGTGGGGCTGTGGAAAACTGCAAACTACCTTCCCAGGCTGAAGGGGACACCTGCTACTCGGCTCCGGGTGATCGTTGCTAAAACCTACCAGAGGCCAAAGGTTGCCAGTTATTCCATCTTTTTAGAACATGCCACAAGTCTGAATTTCCGTGGAATTTTCTGACTTTCAAACTTGGAACCAAATTCAAAATTAGAAAAACAATGACATTATGGCTTCTTAAAAATTCTCCGAGATTGTCAAACCATTTTATTTTAAAAACCAATGCAGGGGGATGAGGCCTAAGAAGTTGAAATGCCTGAGGCTAAGCAGGTCAGTTAGTGGCAGAGCCAAGGCTGGCAGTTTAATCTCCAAGGGAAAATCAGGTTAGGAAAAACTGATATTCCACTGTCCCTGTAGGCCGCCACTTTGCTCACTTCCAAGTGGCCTCCCAACCAAACTGTGGAAACGGGGAAAGTGCCTGTGTTTCATCAAGCAACAGCAATGTTTGTAAAACATTTATAAATCAGTAGAATCTTCCTGGCCAATAAAAATAGCTTTTGGTGTTAAATCAGATTTTAAATCTTAACTTCTACTGTTCCTTCATCATGGATAAAATAAGAGTGCCATTTACAAGTCTGTGGAGAGGATGAAATAAGATTTCAAGTTGGAGCATCTGACATTATACCAGGACCATATTAAAGACACTGCACATGATAATTATAATATAATAACATCCAGATGATATTATATTAGTTTGCATTATCCGTGGAGGGTGAAGTGGGCATGGAGGGAAAGAGGATTAAAGTATTTCACGGTGGGAGTAGGTTATGGACAAATCTCAAGGTGGAATTCCTAATAGGCGGTATAAGTGGGATTTTCCCCCAAACCCCATCTTTTCCCCAAGTTCATGGTCAAATCCATCTGTATCACAGGTGTGTACAGTGCAGTCTTCCGTGAAATTGATGGTAGAGCAAATTGGGAGTCCAGGTGGTTCGGGGTTGAGGAGGGGCGTGCCAGGTTTCAGATGAGAAAGTCGCACCCATTCGTTTCGCTCTCGCAGTAGGCCCACCGCAGAGATTTGCTTTTCCACCTGCGAGCCTCTTCTGCCGGTTGCGGGAGGCCGCAGCGGCGGAAGAGGGGGCGGAGGCAGAGGCGGAGACGGCACCCAGAGGCCGGGTCAGGGGAGGCCGGGACCATAGCAGTGACAATTTCTTTCCAGCAGCGGCGGCAGAGGAACGACGGCAACAGGCTCGGGATCAGCCGGCCTGCGCGTGGGTTTGCGGAGACGCTGATCGGCCAGGCGCTACGCAGCCACTGCAGCCAAGGGGAGGACGAGAACCACGCACGCAGCCGGAGCGAGTGGACCTAGCAAAGCTCCATCGGTCCACGGAGCCCGGAGGAAAGTACGGCCGAGGCGAGCGAGCCGGCACCTTCACGCTGGCTGCCTTAGCACCCAGCTGCAGTGCCTTCTAGCAAAAGCCAGAGCCGCTCCGGCTGCAGCGGCAGGACGGATGCCAAGGCCACACGACAGGCGCAGGTGCAACCCCTGCAGTCGCCGTCCCACGCGGGGTCCAGACATCGGGGGTTGCTGGTGAGTAGGTGCGCGTGCGCGCGTGTATGCATGAGTGTGAGCGCGCACCAGCGCAGGCGAGTGTGCACGCCGATTCTGCGTGCACGGTGGCCTGGCGCACCGCCAGTCTCTCTTCCGCTGGCGGCGTCGGGTCTCGGGTTCGTTGCGCGGGAAGAGAATGCCTTTTGCTGGCTCACTTCCTTCAAGTGCCCTGATCGGTTGCCTCTGCCTGCGATGCCTCAGTGCCGCCCCAGCCGGCCCCTAGGGGTTCGTTTCACCTTGATGAGTCAGGCAGGAAGCTGTGACTCTAGGTGGCAGGGCCGGACTCTGTAAGTGACCTACACGCGTGTTTGTGGTTCCAACTTGGACATGGTGTTGGCATTGAAAGAGACCACCGCTCTGCCTTTGGAGGTGCGTGGTGTGGAGAAGGGAGGGGCCAGGATTAGAAAAATAGACTTTTACCTTTGTCGGGTATATAGCATGCCTCTCTAGATGACGTTTACTTTTATGCCGTTTATGGGGAACTCCTAACATTTCCCCTCACCTGAGTAATTTAGGCCTTAACCAAACGTCTTTAATGAAATGCACAAAGTGTAATGTCACTAGAACATAATTTTCCAGAACTCTCTAAAATAACCCACACTGTTGATATCCCAGAGCCTAAGATGGTGTGATTACTGAATTTTTTTTAAATTACAAAACCTATATAATTTTATTAACCAATGTTACCTTAATAAATTTAATTTAAAAAACTTTAAAAATACATATGTAATAAGTAATTCAAGAAACAGAATCTGATCTAGAGGAGTGAAAAAAACCTTAAGTGTTTGAGTGGCATGGGGTGTGGGTGGCTCTCTGGAAATCAGTGTTTGGTAGTAAGTAAGAACAGACATCTTTCAGATTAAGCTCCAGTGAGTACACTGCTTTCCAAACATCTTGCTAGCCACTGGAAAGAAAACGGAGCCCTAGATTTTAGGGAGTATCGGTAAGATGCTGATTTATGATTTCATGATTCAAGGCCTTGTCAATGTCAGATTTGTTCCAGCAGATAAATTACACCTGGATTTTTGACTTCCTGTGTGAAGTTTTTGGTGGTAGTTTTCTGTGATAGTTTTATAGGGATTAAGCCACTGGGTTTTATTTTTTCCCAAGACTTTGTTTCAATGGACAATCTTATGTTTGTGGGATGGATCCTCGACTCAATTTCAAAAATATACTCTATAGCTGAGTTGTAGTAGGCATTTTGTAGCTATAAATACTGATTTAAAAAATTTCAGGTTCGTGTCTTTGAGAAATAGACTCCTGTTTACAATTACTCTGTTATAGCCGCTTCATTCAAAGGCAGGAACTGTTGTGGAACCTGGAGAATGACTGGCTGCTGCTTTTCTGTTCAAGCCTATATCCAAGCATGCTGTCGACCACTTGGGCATGTCAGTTGGAATTTATGTATCAGCTGATTCTTGGAAATTTTTTTAAAAAACTCGTTTTATTATATTCTTTGGTAAAACAAGCACCACTGAAATTATGAGACAGAGAATCCTAGTCACTTTCCCATGTTGTGGTCTTCAGGGCCAGTTCCTTGCCTACTTTGGCTGCTTCATAAGCTTGAGGAGAGGACCTGAGGGGAGCAGCATCACCAAGGGTGTCCTCAGCCAAGAGATTTGCTCCTGGAGCAGAGAATGTCTCTGGGGTTGGCTCCGGAGAAGGACTGATAAAAGCAGTCAAAAGAGTTGTTAATAATAGTTACCTCTTTTTACTTTCATCACCTAGGACTTAACAAAACCAGTCTGATCATCTTCCTCCCTCAGTGACTTCCCAGTCCTACTTACAGCATCAACCCGGGGAGTGAGGTTGCTTTTCACAGAGAAGAGTCGGGTAATTCTTGCTCAAAATACAAAGGGTAGAAGAAATATGTAGTTACTGCCTAGGAAATGGCAGGTACCTTCATAGAGCCTTCATTTACAAATTAGACACGATGTAATCCCTTAGATTTGTGATTCTGTTTAATGCTAGCATTTTTTTCTCAGCCCTGTGAAAGATTCATAAGTAACTTGAATGATACTACAAGAAATGACTCATAGTCATCACTGAAAATATTAGACTCAGCTCTCTCTTCCTTTGGGCTAATGGATCACAGATGCTCAATAAATATTTGTTAAATGAAAAACAATTCTAGAATGTCTTTACTTCCCAACTTAACTGTGTCACATCTAGTGTTGATTATTTCTAGACATAACATTATATGAATCACCAAACTTTTTATCAAATTGAAGCCCATTGATATATTCAGTAAAGTAAGATCAACTTCTTCCACAAAGGAACAGTAACAATCCCTTTGGGATACAACAAAAACAAACAAAAGTACATTATTGGTATCTGTTGACTAGCTTATTCCAGCTCGATGAACATGTGACTTGCCCGGTGGCATATGTGAGTGTACATTCAGAAATCCTGAGTTGACAGCAGAACGTTCAACTCAGGAATAATCTGGATGTAGCCACATCAGGACGTACCTTTTGTCAGATATTATTTGCATTTCTAAGCAAGTCAGATGAACTTCTAGTACCGTCCAGCATCTCATGCTAAATGGAAAAGCCAATTAAACCTTTGGTAAATGGCTAAGTCATCAAAACACATGGTGTTTGGTTTTCTTTCTAAATTTTAAATTAAATTCATGTATGTTTGTCCATTGATGTGGCTGGTTCAGAGTCTAATTCAGACTGGTAGTTACTTAGTAACTTGCATTTATTAAAAGCAACTCCTTTATATAAGCACCAGTAATTCATATGTTTTAATTTGCTCTAGTTAGCCTTTCAAAGTCCTTTTTGGAAATGGTTGCATTGTATGATCTGGAATATCAAGGCTGCTATGCCTTCCTCTTTTTTTTTTTAATAGTTCTGACTTTCCATACCCCATCACTAGAAGTTTATGATTCATGATCTAATTTCAGGACTAAAGATTAGAAAGATGTCTTAAGTTTGCCTGCATATTAACATTATCATGTTAATATGCATATTAATAATGCAAATTTTCTGTTTGACCTTCTCCCATTTATGTCCTCCAGTCAAGCTTGTTATATTATGAATAAAAAAATCAAATGAAATCCTTAAACATTGAATTTTTTTTCTAATGGGCTAGGTCCAAAATGAATAAATGAAATAAAAAATGGCTTATCACTGTTTTGAAGTAATACAAACACTGATATCCTCTGAAGAATGAAACCTGGCCATTCTTATCAGGTATTTACTTGGTCCTTGAACAAGTGTTAAAGGTGTGTTCCTTTCACGTTTTATTAAGGCCCTTGAAAACCATGGAGCTGAATTTTGATTCGATAAGGTAGCCAATTCAAGATAGGTTCATAATCCCTGGAAGGATTAAGTGATGAAAACCTCTTTTTGGAAGAACACTTTGGCAATTGGGTGAGGAGTGAATTAGTAAAAGGAAGGAGGGCAGGTGGTAATCTCCTGCCAGATTATGATAGCCTGACTTTTAATCCAAACGCTGAAAGGGAGAAGGGAAAATTTAAGACAGACATCAGAATTTGTTCTATGCGGAAGGGGGATGGTAAGGCTGTGGCACAAGTGTGATTGTTCATATGTTCCACGTCCATGGGACAACACCCATTGACCGCAACCTTTGCTGCTGAGCTTTGGTGTAACCTGAGTATCGTGCAAACATTTGACTGATATTTAGTAATATTAGTTATTGAATACGTGCTAAGCACTGTGCAAAGCCTAACACATGTTGTGTCTAGGTTCATGGCATAGTTGGGAGTGTGAATTCTTCTTGCCATTTACTAGTGGTGCGTCTCTGAGCAAGTTACTAACTTCTCTGAGCCACCATTTCCTCATCATTCAACTGGGATATCAATTTCTATCTCATAACGCATGGGGGAGGGTCAGATGAATACATAGGTATAAATAGAATAAAGGGATTGGAAGTGTCTAGCAAAAAGTTAAGTGTATATGCATTTGTTGTTATTGTTATTATTAATTTAGGAAACAACTTTATGTACTAGGCACCATTGTGCAGATTGAAACACTGAGGTACAGAGATGCCAGGTGAATTGCTCCAGGTCATATGCTGGTAGGTGATAGAGCTGGGAGTCGGACCCAGATTGTCTGACTCCAAGGCCTGCTTTCCAAACTTGTATTGATAACACATCCCTGTCTCCTATACTGCATGCTGGGTGCTGGAAGCTTGTCCTCATGGAGATTCCCGAGTCTATCATCTCCCTTGTAGAATATGCCATCTCTAATATAGGATTCTGGCCCAGATTGTTGAACAAAAGTTTTGCTATTTTTACTTGATTCTTTCATATTTTTAAGTGGTATTTTTCCTTAAGAAGTATTCTAATTTCTGTTATTATACTTGCTTTAAAAATCAGTTATTTTTTGTTTTTTGCCTAACAGTTGACATATGCAATACATATTCATTTGTAACATCTCTCCTTGTACCCAGCGATTCTTTGCTGGAGGCAGCAAGGCTGTGTCTCCCTAATATAATGTGTAATATATAGCTCATATTATATATTATATAAGTAATGAATAATGTAATATTATCTAATTATATAATGTATTATATACATTTAATATTGATGTAGATGTTACAGACATTGTATTAGGTATGCATTATATACTTTCGTATACACTATATCCCTATATGTATACATTCTATGATGTGCACATTGTATATAATATACAGTACATTATATTAGGGAGACATTTACATTATATGCAACTTATACATAAAGAATCACTGGGTGTAAGGAGAGATGTTACAAATGAGTGTGTGCACATTAAGTTGTTGGGCAGGTACCACACTCTTAGCATCTCTTATATCGCATTGATGAGTGATGGTGGAATTGTGACATTTTGTAACTATTTCTATTTACAATATTTTATAGAGTAGCTGCAGAGTAAATTTTAGCTGTTCTTTGACTCACTGAAGTAATTATTGTCTAATTAAAGAGGCCAGATTTTAGTTTTAGTGGGAAGACTGCTATAGCAACTAAGAATATA